TCTCAAATCACACAGTTTTCCTACCACTATTTGTCTCTCAAGTGAAATTCCAGAGTTTCTAGTATGGAAGAAGAAGTTTAGAAATATTAAATAAATACACAGATATACAGATAGATACAAGGAAAAACACAAAAAAATCTTGAGGAGATTCTCTGCATCTTGAAAATATGCCTGACTGTCCACAAAATTGAGAAGTGAACTACAAAATCAGTTTGAGTAGTGTCACCAAGTCTATTTTGAAAAGCCAAAATGAATTTTTAGAATTCAAACTCTCTAGGAAACATTAAGATCCTTGTACAGATAAATTAGCGTTGTTTCTATTTCAGAGTCTGCACGCAACGAACCTCAGATAGCACACGTGTACACAAATAGAAACTGGATTTAATTTCCCAAAGATTTCTTGGAGAAGGAATGCATAATTAAGCAAGAAAAATGCACATTCACTTTAAACAAGATCTCTCACAGTCTTAAAGACTTTCCAAGGTCCAGTTCTTAAGAAGAAGAGAATCTTGTTCAATGCATTTAATATGAATAAACTATGTTTCTTGTATTACCACTGGTTTAATTTAAAATTAGAAATGTACATGCGCATTATTAACAGACAATGTATACATATATAAATATAAACACAATTTTTTTGTTTTAAAATTGCATTAAGGACAATCCAAAGAAATTCTAATTTGACAAATGCTATTTATGTTTGCAAACACTGTGCTAACATCTGGATCAATTCAGAAACCTAATTTCCGTAAAATAGTATCAAAATAATTGCATAAAAAAATTCTATGTACGTTGCAAATTCAATCATTGCGAAAGATACGAAACTAAACTGCATTTAAAAGAAACTGCAAAGGTGAATAAACAAACAAGTAACTGCAGGTATCTGATAACACTGTACTTTTTAAAATATATTGTTCCAACTTACATTTAGATTGAAATTTGACTATTACAGTCCTGTTCTTTTCCAAATCTCTCTCTCTGTCTCTCAACTCATTTTCAAGATACTCATTCTAAAGAAACAAAAAAAGAATTAAAAACTGCAAATTAGGAATATTAGCAGTAAAATTCTAATTAAGACGCTGAAGTTACAAAATGCTAAGTGAGAATGAAACATTTGAAAATATTCTAATCCACTACATTCAACAGTGAAACTATATAGTATATGAACCAAAATGAAATGTTACATCATGGACAGCTATTAAAGAAATAGTCTGGCTATAATAAAACCATCAAGAAAAGCTACTTAAACTATAAATAGAATTTATATAAATATCCTTTCTCTGTTTTGTTTTTTAATTTTAAAAAACCTACAATCTACTACTACCTCCTCTGCTTGGCTCCTGTATTATTCAAGCTGTAATTCTGCATAACCACTTAGCATTTTCTTAACCAATAAATTTCTGGATAGCTGGTCATTCTAAAAGAATGGGCCAAGAAGTGGCCTTAAACAAAAATCTTCCTTGCTAGTTTGGTCTGAATTAGAAGTTATACACTCCCTTGTTTCTGTAATTTTGATTATTTACTTCTGAGGCCTGCCACATTCTATGACATGCAGAAAATTAAACCTGTATAGTCGGATATTGAGTCTGTTGATATTTCTCTCATCTCTATATTACCTAATATCCCTGATGTCAATGTAAACTGTAGTTCTGGTGATAGAAAAAGTTCTCTTATGCTAAGAGTTTCTGAATTACAACTGTCATTAATAACTTGCAACTTTGTCACACGTTTTGAATTTAAATGAAGCAAAGAAGTATTTTTAGTTTTTTTTTCCCAAGTGATTTACATTCCCAAGCATGCCAGAAGTTCTTCAAGGTAGATTTTCCACAGCCTCATTCTTTTCAGCTATATCTTTCACATAGTTCAAAAGGCTAACTGATGCTATTCTATCTGCAAGCGTGTTTCTCATTTCCATGTTATACGTGTTGCTAGCCCATACTCACAGAAAATAAAAAATGTTAATTAGTATTCAAATAAAAGTTTTTAAAAAATAGTAATTTGGGATTTTATAAAAGTAGTTAGTCAAAGATTTTAGAAAATATTTAAACAGACGTTTACAAACTAACACTACTGTTCTATGAAACAGATACACAGTAAATGCTTATGAGCTTGCTTTATAAACCTACCTTTGCCTTTACTTCAGCAATATTATGGGTGTTCAAGAAATCAAATTCTCTCTTACTCATTTGCTTCTGTTCAATGAAGTTGTCTGTTATCTGCACATCACCAGCCTCCAGTGCTAATTGCAAGTAAATGTACGAGAAATTAATGACTATGATTTTTTTTTTTTTTTTTTTTGGTCTTCAAACAAGTAAATATATTCCAGTTAGTAGATCAGAGTTCTATTTTTCTGTCTGCAGAGTAAGGAGCTGCAAACCTTTCCATTCAAACGGATTATATTTGCTTAGACAGCAAAGAGTAGAAATTTTTAAGATTTCTGAAATGTATTCATTATGAAGATGTACTGGAAATCATGGTGAGATAATCTATACATAAGAAGTGCAAACCAGTGACAGTGATGCATTACTAGTCAACAAGTTGAAAATCTATTGGGCTGTAAGCCGGCAGAAACATAAAACCACTCCCGTCATCTTACAGATTCAGTGAAAAGTATTTTACCTTCTAATTTAATCAACAGTGTAAATTGAACAGAGCTGCATTATTTCTATAGACAATGTTCCCACAAGACAGTTTGTAACAAAAAATGTCCTACCTGTCGTGGCAACTTTTCTTCCTTTCTCCTGAGCCAATTTACGAACCTGCTTTTTCAGTTCAATTCTTTCCTCTTCTAGTCTTTCGATCTGCATATTACTAAAAATCAGTACTTCATTCTGTTCACAGTATTATAATGCAGTAGTTACATAAAAATATGATTTATCACTTACCTCTTTCAAAAGAATCTGGTTTTCAGATCTATACTGCTGCTGTTTCAGTGTTTTGCTGTTTCTGAATTCATTTAAATCAATCATTGCCTTTGGCTCAAGACCTGAAACACAGTACACACATATAATGTATAATCACTCATTAAGAAGGAACATTAATGTTAATGGTCATTAGTAGATAGCCCATTTAAATAATAACATAATCAGTCAGGGAGAATAAAAAAATAGTAAATTGATGGGTAAATATATATGTATTTCCACACATTATGCTCTGTGTAAGAATAACAGAAGAAATCACAATTTTGAATCAATTGCTCAAAAAACTGCCATAAAATACCACCGAAAATTCTCTGTACTTATGTTTTGATACCCCCATAAAAAAATAAGCCTGCCCAATTTTTTCCTGTTTTTCAATCTAGAATTAAAATTTCAATATGTTTTGATTTCTAAATACTAAATTATGAAGCCAATAAATCATCTACAGTCAAGAAAGAATCAAAACTTAAAAGGCAATGCAAAAGTCTCCTCCTTTCTTCAGCCAAAGGAGTCTGTAACATAAATTTAGAAGGATACATTCATTCATTTTTTCCTAACTAAAGCTACTTGCAACTATTAGCAAAATCATGTAAGTATTTCCAAGTAATTACCTGGTATAGTAAAGAAAGTCCATGACATTCTTACACAATCAGTAATTGAAAATGTAATAAATACAACGTACCTAAGCGCTCTCTAAGCTCTTCATTTTCATCAAGAAAATCATTTATTTTAAGTTCAAGTTTATTGATTTCCTTAATTAACATTTCAATCTCGTGATCTCGTATTTTGATTTGCTTTTTTAAATCCTTTATTTCAGCAATAGCCTCTTCCAAACCATACACTCCCTGTAAAAATCCAAATGGGAATTATAAACAAAGCCTCCAACAGAGCTCAGAGAAAAAATTACAAATCTGTTTCATTGTTACAAAGTTAATGACCCTATTTGTAAATAAAACAAGAAAGAACTGCTGTGATTCAGAACTTATGCTAACAATCATAAGAGACCTGTGATAAGCAAAATAAAGACAATAGCCAAGTGATCACGTGAGTTCATCCTCTTGATGGCCTGATTCAGTGTCCACTAAAGTAAATGCTGACCATAGCATATGGCAAATTTCTAACTGCAGTGCCTATTTCTTTCATGCAAACATTTTCAGGAAAACATGCCACAGTACCTGTGATTCTTCATCACTGCATTAAAAGATAGCAAAACTTTCAATTTTGAAATTTTCAAATATCTTTGAAATTAATTCCTCAGGCATATAAATTTGACCAAAAGTGCTAATTGTCAAAGTAATTTTTGAGGAACCTGATTTTTATGTACATATATATATTACTTACATCAAATATTAACTACTTAACAAGAAAATGTTTTTCAGTTATTATCACTCTTCTACACTGTGATTACTACAGTATGGTGTCAAATAAAAGCAAATCCTACAAATCTGTCCTCTAATTACAGAGGCTGCACATTTTGAAACTGAATCCACTTATCATAGGATTCTTTGAAGATTCCATCTTGACTATGATCAAAAACAGCCAGCACAGCTTCACCAAGGGCAGATCATGCCTGAACAATCTGGCTGTCTTCTATGATGGAGTGATGGTATCAGAGGACAAAGATCAAATGATGTCATCATTCTATGACCTAATAAAATTTCTAATAAAATTTTAATTTTATTAATTAAAATTAAAGTTCAATAGGTTTCACTCACAGTCAGCCTGTGTTCATATCTTAATACTGTCAATTTGAAAACGTTTTTATGTACAGTTAACAAACTGCATACAATTAATGAGCAGTAGGGTTATTATAAAAGGAAAAAATGGCATTGGAAGACATTCATTTAATTTCTAATTTCAAACACAATAAAACGCAAAGAGAAAATGATTTGCTAAAACTATGCTGAAATATTCTGTCCTCTTGAACCAACTGTTTACCAGTTCGTAGTCTTTCATTCGTTTCAGAGCCTCAACAAGTTCTTTGTCCTTTTCTCTAGCATCTGCTTCTGCTAGTTCTGCTGATTTCTCAGCCTCCTTAGTTCTCTCTTCTAGCAGTTTTAATTTTTCTTGCATTTCTCCTAGGCGATTCTGCTGAGCAAGAGTTGAGAGACCTGGAAAGAAAAACAATTACCTGGTGACAATTCAGTTAGAAATTCTACCTAAGAAATACTTCAGATAATGTTATAAAGGAGATCTTCATTACCTGTTCTTTCAAGCAAGTAAAGCTACATATTAGAGCATTTTTTTTTCCAATTGTTCCTTAAAACAGCCCTTATAAGAAGTATGCATATAAGAGACATCAGAATTTATTTTGCATTGTATGTAATTAATCACTTGCAGGTCTTTACAGAGGTGAGTTCTTGTATATTGCACTCTAACCTATAAAGACTAATAGGTTTACTTTTATAAATAAATAAAGATAAATGAAATAAAAATATTATTCATTTTTTGATGTTACCTCCAAAGCCCACTGAAGTTCTGTGAAGAAATTTAAACCATACTTGCATGTATGATAAATGGAAATGAACAAAAAAACGAAGAGATATATTTTACTTAAATATTTCAATTTTTTTTTTTTATATTTCTGAAGAATACACCTCCCCTATGAAGATAGTCTGAGAGAGCTGGGGCTGTTCAGCCTGGAGAAGAGAAGGCTCCAAAGACACCTGATAGCTGCCTTTCATTACCTACAGGGAGACTGTAAGAAAGAAGAAAACAGACAAGAGTCTGTTGTGATAGACAAGGGGAAATGGTTTCAAACTGAATAAGGGAAGATTCAGAGTGGATATAAGGAAAAGGATTTTTCACAATAAGGGTGGTAAGGCACTGGGATGAACTGCCCAAAGAGATGATGAATGCCCCATTCCTGAAGACATTCAAGGGCAGGATGGATGAGGTTCTGAGCAATCTGATCTAGCTGTAGCTGTCCCTGCTCACTGCAGGTGAATTGGACCAGATACCATTAAAGGACCCTTCTGACTCAAGAAATTCCATGATTGTATAATTTTAATTTAATTTGTTGGTATGTTTCTTCTGTGGTGCTTTGATTAGCAAAGCCAGACTTTTAACATGTTAAAATCTTCAGTGTTAGAGACCATAAGGAAAGTAGAATGAGTGCAGAGACTTTTAAAACTTTCTCCCAGAGTAAGTGATCTATCTATAGCTGTCTTTGTTCACTGCATGGGAATTGTAAAGATGACTTCTAAAGGTCCCTTCAAACTGAAATGATTCTATGATTCTATAACATTTATTCCTTCTTAATTTCCTTTTAATATATCTTAAAATAACACTCTCAGCTTACCTTTATCTTTTTGGAGATCATTTTTTAATTCTTCAATAAGAAATGCATTTTGTTCCATTTCTTTGGTATACTGTTCGACTTGCTCTGTAAGCAGTCTTATCTGAGCATCTCGCTCTTGCACACCCTACAAAAAAAAAACACACACAAAAAAATTGAAGAAGTTCTTTACTGGCCATCTCACTCTTGCACACTCAAAAAAAAACCAAAAAAAAAAACAAAACAGAAAAAGAGAAGCTCTATTAAATAAATTCGTCTTTACTGACACAAACTACTTGTACAGAACACCACATTTCTTCAAAAGTACATGATAAATGAAAAGCAACTATGACAAAAAAAAAAAATTACACAACAAGCATATATACTATACTTACAGCATAGAGTTCAGATATTAGCTAGAAGCAGCATATTTAAAGGCAAAGCAAGGAGAACAAAAGAAAGAGTAAAGCATTTGAATAACACAAACACACAGAGGCACTATTTTATCAATTTTACACAGAACAGTTCTCTAAGAGTTAAGAAGCCAGTGCATGATAAAAAGTTTTAGACCAAACAGATTTCTTACTACCTCCTCATTAACAGGTGATAGGAACTGAGAGTTATATATTCAAGATTGGGAAGACTAACAATCCATCATACGTAACACCTAATTTGAAGGCTAACTTTCAACCAATCATTGACAACTTTTAATACTTCAAACCAAATCTTGCTTAACATGCATATGTATATACATCGGTAGACATGGATTGTAAAACTGTCCATTACCATTATTTCTATGCTTTTACACAAACTTCAGAAATATTACAGAAACCTCATTTTTATTTCTGGTGTCATTAAAGCAAAAAAGAAAAGGAAAAAAAAAAAAACAACAAAGAGACTTGGAAAAAAAATTACAGAAAATAAGTATATAATATAAAAATTTCAAGAGTTGCTTACCTTACTCAACATCAAATTTATAAAAAAAAAAATTTCAAGGTTTCTTAGAGGAAAAATATATCACATGTTAAGAAACTAAACATAACCCTTTAAAATGTGCATATACACTGAACTACAACAAGCTTACTCCATTTTGAGTTACAACACAATGTATTAAGTTTAGTTTTTAAATATGTTTATTCCCACAAGCTGTTCAGAATAGCATAGTGACTGTTGTCCAAAAATCAAATTCTACAGCCATCTGATCAGTTAGAAATAGACTGTTTGACTGCGTATCAAAGATTTCTTCAGCTGCTTTCACCTTCTGATTATCAGAGGATGAGTTTTAGAGGTTGAGAGGATGATGGTTTTTTAATTTTCTACTGAGAAGCTATCAGTTCCCAGTCCTGTAAGACTGCATAATTATACCTCATCAAACCATTCAGTCTACAAAGGCCCATAACATACATTCCAGAATTCCTAATGGGAAGTGAGACTATTTTGAATGTTTTAAAGTTTGTCAAGAACATTGAGAAATTCAAAATCATAATGAATTATCTAATTTTAGATTAATAAAAGGGATACTTAAATTCAGCTAGCTTTCACAAGCTGAACCACAGACTTCAACAACAAGGCACCAGAGAAAAACAACAGGAACAGAGAAGATAAAATCCCTAGGGAAGGTTTCTTCCTTGACAGATTTAGAAGATAAACTCAACTACAATTTATCAACACTAAATTCTGGATGCTCAGATGTTAAAACAATCTTTCTGCAAATAGTTAGAAAAGATAAATATAAAAGTAATAGAACTGACTATCAAAAGCCCAATCCATACAGAAAAAGACATTTCCTTTGTGCAGACTAAGCTAATTTTGTGGTGGAATAAATCAATCTGCCTCATAATTCTCAAACATGAATAGCACAATATTCTGGTACTTGCAAACTATGAAAGACTAAACTATTTGGTTAGTAGTTTACCTGTTGAATGGTCGCATGTATCTGAACCTTTCTTTTTTTTTGCTCAAGAAAAAAGCTTTCTGAGGCATTTTTTCTGATAAGACTGACTTATCTAGGAGGTGAGCGGTGGGTGTTGCTGCGTGGCAATCAACATCATCTCTTTGTGGACAATTTTACACTTGAAAGATCAGGAGAGTTTACTGGAGGAAGACCTGGCTTGTAAGCAAATAACTCCTGGTACAGGAGCTTGGGGAATGATAACATTGTATCCTGTGAAAACATGATACAAGCGGGAGCCTCCCTGGTCTCTCTTACCAGCTGATTTAAGTTTGCAAGGCCTGGAACAAAAGAGTTCCTGCTGAGATCCCAAAGCCAGAAGCCGTCACCCCAAGAAGAACTGACTCTACCAAAATGGACTTAGAAATAAGTTTGTACCTTCAATGTTAGCAGTCTTCATCAAGTGAACAACACAACCTCTAACAACCCATCACTACTGAAAATCAACGTCTGAACTACGAGCAACTCGGGAATCCTGATGGTGACTCTCTGTCTTGCTTTCTACGAAGACTCCTTGCTTTTATTTCCTATCTCTTTTCAATCATCTATCTTCCCTTCCCCATCTCCCTAAGAAACTAGGATTTGTAATAAACTGGTCAGGCTAACATTTGACCTGTTGTATCATAATCTTGCCATTGGGTACACATATATTACTCCCTTCTATAATTGGAGCAAGACAGCATGCAATTTATCACATAGACTATACCTGCTGAAGAGCCAGTATACTGTTTTTGTTTACATCAAGTCGGGCCATTTTCATTTCCTCTTTCATGTTAAACAACATTTGTTGATATTCTATGAGTTCATTGTCTTTCGAAGCCAAGATTTTCTGAAAAGGTAAATAAAATACCATCAGAATGCTTGAAGTAATCCTTAAAATATTAAAAAAGGGTATTAAAAGTACCTTCCATTCTTCAACTTTTGCATTTATAGCTGCCATGAGAGGATCATCTTCCTCATTCTTTGCTTTCAGCTGGTCTGAAAGCTCCTGAACCTAAAAATGTAATTTGGATCAATTTCACATTAAAAAAAAATGCTTTACTTAAAAAACACGTATGTACAAATACACAACACCAAACACATACAATTCAGTGGAACAGCGTTAAAGAAGAAAGTGGCTCTAAGAACACGGTTTGACTAAAACTGTATGAAAGTATTTTGCAATCTGCAATCAAGTTTAAATATTTGCATCAAGTTTAAAGATCATATTATTTCCAGAAAGTGTTATTTCAGCAGAGCACATGTTTTTAACTGGATATACTGAATGTTTTCTAAATTAAGTTAAAATGTGACAGTGCGATATAAAACAAATTCAGTAATATAAACGTTAGTTCTTACTTGAAATTTGTACTGTTCATTCTCCTTTCTTAACTGATCCATAACAATATCAGATTGTTGCACAATTAGTTTCATTTTATTATATTCATCAGTCATCTTCTCCATTTCTTGCACTGATTCCTCAAGATTCTTCCTCATTTCTTGGTTCTGAATGTCTAATTTCTCATTAGTTTCAGTCAAATTCTGCAAAATTTAAGAATCCGCTGCTTTTAAGAAGTGTGCGTCTTAGATACCTGAATAATCAGAAACTGAAAGCTACCTTAAATGTAATACTTTAAAGTATAAATTACCCCACAATAGAGTATTTCACCTCTGGTTCCTCAAATTCAACAAATCCTATGGGCTAAGCACTAAACATCTCTCAGTTATTAAACTTCATTTCTTCAAACATTTACAGATAGAAAATGTATATACATCACAGAACCCAACTGCATTAAAAATTCCCTTAATCCATGTGATTTGGCCTGTTATTTGGCATAGCTTTTGTGAAAAACACATTGTCAGTAACAGTCTAATAAATATTCAACAGCACCCATTTTACCTGAATTTCATCCAAATACTGGACAAGCTCAAAGTTCTTTTTGGACAACTGAGATCTGTAATCAGAATCATCTCCTCTTCGTGATAGGACTGTTTCTTTATGGGAATCTATTTGCCTCTGATAGTCAACTACGTCCTGACGCAATTGTTCATTCTGCAGAGAAAGCAATCCAAAAATGAATCTATCTTGAAGGGCTCAAAACAAAGTTGTTTTTCTAGCAAGCTAACACAAAGGGCTAAGACAGTCAAATCCATCTAAATTTCTACAGTCTGCTTTTGAAAATTTAAATGCCTCACCTTTCTCTTTATTTGTTTTTTCTTCTGATTAAAAAGAAGAGAACAAGAGCAAAAGAACAAAGCGTGAAAAATATTAGAAAGCATCTTTGCTTTATACAGACTAAGTAGGAATCAACATAAAAGTAAAACAAAGTAGAATTCTCTATATACCCATGCATGTGTATCTGTACATACACACATAGATAAAAAGGCCTAAGGAATGATTTTCAAGCTTGTACCAGAACATTAATTTTATATTAATTTTACCTGTTGGAAGATTACAGATTTTAAAGGTATAAAAACAACTACAAAATTGTCTTAAAAGAATGATTCAAGAAGAAATTTAGTAGTAGTGAATGTTAACTCTTATTTTTCTGTAAACTACTGACTTTAAAAAAACAAATAAACAAACAAACAAAAAACTATTTAGCAAAAGCAGCAAGCATACACTGAATCCTCACTGCTATCCATCTAAGACTTTTGTCAATAGCATTTAAGAAAAATACTAGAAAACACTAAAAACTCAAATAACCAAACTCCAAATAAAATTAATTTTAGGACTGCAAATTCAAGCATAGATCCTGATTTCAAGTAGATCTATGATAAATATGTAAAAACTGATTAAAATCTTTTAACCTCTTCATATCAGTATCTAGAAAATGCTCTAGAATGTAATTAAATACCATATCATGTAAAAAAATTATATAGAAAACTAAAAATGTAAAACCTAATTAGCAGTCATTCTTTACTAACCTCTCTCCTTAATTTGATGTTCTCGTTTTCTGCGTCTTCATTTCGAAGAGCAAGCTAGAATAAGATAATAAAACCTTTATTGTGTATACAGTTACATATATATATACATACAAATATATAAAGCTAACATCACAGATTATGAAAGCAAAATCCAGAAACAAAGCAGTGACTCT